AAGGAGAAGCACAGCAGGGAGAACATGGACTCGGGTTTAATAGAGCCGTCCCAGCTCTGCCTCTTCCCAAAAATGGTGTCTCGGGAAAGGTTTTGACCCACTCTTGACCTTGGATGTCAGAGTTAGGATTTGAACCTACGTCTCTGAACTGTACGTTCTGGGTTCTTTCCAGTGCTTTTAAGCCTCAAGGCCACTTCCCAGCACTTGACTCTCTCAGCACCTTCTCTTTCTTTGCTGCAGGCCCTAGACTTTGCCTGCCTCCACCTTCCTCTCTCCTCTGCTTCCCTCTGACCCCTCTTGCCCTGGCCTGGTTTTGCCAGTAAGATAGATACCCATTCCTGTTTCCTCCTTCCTGACTCCTTCCCCCAAATAGCTAGGCTCCTTCCCCTTGTAGATTTTGCCCCTCAAACCTTTACCAATTGCAAATGGGCTCTCTGCCATTCTTCCAGACCCTGGTGTCAGTCCATCTGAGCTCCGGTGCTCAAGTCACTCTTAGGTCCCACCCCAAAATTTGATCTATCACAATACATCTTTGAGTTATTGCAGCTCGGGCATTTTGACACGATACATTATGGTAATCCATAGCACATAGAGACATTAACACTCCCGACTTTGACAAAATACATTGTGAAGTCTTTGAAGGCACCATTACAATTTATCTTGTCATTCAGGAGGAGACCCAGTTCAGCATTAATGTAGATGAACACAGTGTGGCTTTTGTTTCATTTAATTGCTTATGACCTTTTTAATTGCTAATTTAACAAAATACCAAAGGGTTATGTTTCAATTAAATTAACAGTTTGGGAGTGGTTTTTTTAATATCTGTTTATTTTTAAGACATTCTGGCTCTCTCTGCTTTTTTACTTGGAGTAGATAAAAATGTCTTCTCTTGAACAGAAGTGGGTTTTTAAATGTGAAGTTGATATATAGTAATAATTCTAATATGCAAATGATACAGTGCCGGTGTATGGTTGAATTCACTCCTTTCTGGAAGGATACAAACAGTAAAGGTATACATACAAAGTCTTTGAACTTTTCTGGTCCCAAAACATGCTTTTGGTATAATGCTCTGCTTTGGATGTTTGTCTTTAGATGTAAAATGTCTCTCGTACGCACCATTTATTGGGTGCTTCTCTCTGCCTTGTAATACTTTCTTTGTGTTCTGTAGCAAGTTTGTAAGCTCCCGAAGATCAGGAACCCTGCCTTATCCTCACCAGTGTGCCTCCATAGGCGAGCATACCGCTGGCATGGGGACAGTAGTTGCAGGTTATATGGCTGACTGATCCGTACACACAGACGTGCCCCCTCCGAGCAGCGACACTCCTGAGCCTCTGTCAAAAAATGGCTGTATAACTCCGAAGACCGGAAGTTGTTAATGTTCGGCAGATGACCTGCTTGGGGGTGAGCAGCGTGTACTGGAGGCGAGTGCAGGGCTGTTGTCCTTTCCTACACCCCCAGGTGCTGTTGCCCTTCTAATCATAAAAGCAAACACACCCCTTATCATCTGGGGCAAGGCTCAGAACTTACCCAAGTAACAGGGGGGCCTAAATCCTCAAATGGGATATGAATTTACACTGTTAGAGAGTAGAAGGTCAATGCAAGAAGCATTAGTGTGTTGAGCCAGCTCCAGCTATATAAGTCTTGAACAAAATTAATATAAGGAAATTGACAAGCCTTGCTGGTTATTCCATAGCTTTAAGACCTCTACTAAAATCCTATCATCTCATCTGCCCATTATTAACATTTCAGCAAAATATAAAGTTTTCATTAATCTCCCACAGCAAATTTAGGAGTGAAAACTGGCACTTGTTTGAGCTTTTAGGACTACATTAGCTGGTGTATTAAACAAAATATGTCATTCTTCAGTAGCTTCTGTAAGAAGCTAAATCAATTTCCAGCCATATTTATGCACCACTTTATCTAAAAGCATCTGAATTATCATTTACAGCTAAGATGCTTTATTAGCAGCTGGCATTGAAATTGCTCAGTAAAAAATTATATGTCACGTTATAGTAATTTTTAAATTGGTTTTAATCCAACATCATAAAATGTAAAACTCTTAAGTGTGTGTTTTTTTTTTTTTTTTTAGTAATTGGCATTTTAGCATAATGAGCTGTTACCTCTTTCCAAATCAAATACCTGCAATATTTAGAAAATACTAATTAGTAAAGAAAGCAGAAGTTCTTGAGCTAAGCTGTATCTAATAATGGCATTTTCTCAGATAAGATGACTTTAACTGGTTTTTAAAACATGAAAGGATTTTAACATTTCACCAAAAATTCTCCACAGCTCTCGTATATAAAAGGTTCTAAAAATAGAAATAAACACATCTTCTCGGTTCTGTTTCAGGAAAGTGTATATTGGGGAAAGTGATTGATTATTTGAAACTCTATAAATTCTAGCCACTCTCTTGGTTTAAAATATGGACATTACCCAGAAGACAGTCATGCTCACAATGATGCCATTTCTGTCCAAAATTACACATGTCCTAAAGAAAGGTAGTGAACTTACCTAATGATCCTCATAGATATTGAGTGCCACTCTTCTGGTCCTCGTGATGTGATGTTGGCTAAGTCGCTCAGCCCCTCTGATTCTCCTGTGGCCACAGCAGCTGGCATTCATCAGTACATTTTTATTGAGCACTTGCTTTATCCTGGGCATGGTAGCACTAGCAGGATCTAGGCTATAATGGTGAGTAAAGCAGTCACTCTGCCTGCTCTATTAGGGTTTGCAGTCCAGTGGCAGAGACAGACAATGACTAGCTGTGACAGCATTCTGCAGAAAAATGCTGGGTGCAGTGGCAAAGGGAGCTGAGCTCCACTTGGGGGCCGGGGGTCAGGGAAGTTTCCCTGGAATGTCACTTGAGCTAGGCTCTTCAGGAAAAATAGGTAGGACACCTGGAGGAATAGGTCAGAGAGAATGAAGTGGGGAGAAGGGGGCCTGGGCAGAGAGGACAGTATAATATATGCAGATGCTCAAAGATGGGACTGTATCACAGGCATGCAGTGAATGGTCCATTAAGGGAGAGGCTGCATCCTCCCTGAGCAGGGAGCATTATTGTGGGTGCTAGAGTGGTCCAAACTGGGAAAGTGTTTGGAAATCAAATGCACCGTTCCTAATAAAGGAGTTCAATGTGAAGGCATCAGAAACCAACTTTGACTTAAAAGCTTACCCTGTAGGCAATAACTGTGGGAAGGAAAAGCATGTTAATTGTCAGGCTGCCAGTTATGTAACAGAATTTTCCCATTTGATACCCAAATCTAGAGTTTTCCATTCCTCCAACTCTGTCCCAAAGGAGTTCTCTTTGGGTTTCCCTGTGAAGCCATCTCTGAGTATTCAACACAAGGCTTAGGGCACCCTGTTCTGGTTGGCCTCTGCCATACAGGTGCTTCCCTCCCACTGGTGAATGGTACCAGTAGCTGCACCTGCAGAAGACCACATATTAAGCTGGGGAACAGGAAATAATTTAGCTTTGCTTAGTGTGGACTCAGTCACATGACTTTACCTCTCAAAGCCTCAGATTCCTCATCTGTATAATAGAGAAAGTGAGTACCCACCAGGTTGTCATGAGGCTTAAGTGCATGTGTAAAGAGCTTAGCGCCATGCCTGATGTCTAGTGAGCACTCAAACGCACTGGTTCTTTATGTATTTTTTATTTATTTACTTAGCACAATTTAGTGAGGGCATACCGGTTGCCTGCACTGCTTGTAAATGATACAGAGATGAATGAGAAGCTTTACCGACCATCAAAAAGCTTCCAAATTAGGCCAGAGTGACCAGTCAACAATTCTAGTGCAAGATTGAATATGGTCCTCTCTGACGGTAGAATAAAAACAATCATGACTGCTGTTTACTAAGTGTATTATGGTTAGATTCTTTAAATACATTTTGACATTCTGTGCATGGTAAAAACGGGCTCAGAGAGTTTAAAGTCACTTGACCTTAGATCATATAGCAAGTTAGAGGCACAGGAATTAAGCCCAGGGCTGTCTGGCCCCAGAGTCCAGTATAACCAAGATTCACAAATTCCAACTGCTGTGGAATTCAAGAGGAGACAGACTTTGAGCCGCCTTGGGTGGAGTTTTGACAAGTCCAGGGTAAGCTTGGAAGGCTACCACATGAACAAAGGGCCAGCAGTAGAAAAATCTAGACTTGTGTGCAGTCTGAGGAGTTTGGGAAGAGCTGAGAGAAGGTATGGCTGAGAAATAACAAGTAAAATTGAAAAATTACATTTTAGGGAGATTATGGACAGCCTTGATTGCTTGGCTGAAAACAGTGCCTCGTTCAGAAGGCCATGGGAAGCCAGGCAAGATTTTTGAGCACTGGCCTTCTTACTTGTCCCCAGTACACCTCTCAGGGTACTGGGCATGCACGAAGCTCTCACTAAACATTTGACGAGTGAATAAATGATCTAGGCTTTAGAAAGCTTTATGAATCAGACAGTCCTATGGTGGCTGGATTGCAGGGAGAGCTCGGTGGCTGGAAGGCCCATGAGGACACTGTTACACCCATCTGAGAGTGAGCAGGCTCGTGCCCACACCAGTGGAGACTGGGATGCAAGACGGGAAACTGATGAACACACAGTTTGAGAATCTTGGAAAGCACAAGATTTCTCCAAGAGCACGGATTACTTTTATGATCGGAAAAATTATTCAGAAAAGAAGCAAGAAGGATGACCACCCATGCTTTTGTGGTTGTAACTTAACTCTCGTGGAGATGGAGAGCTTCTGGCGAGCAGCAGTTTTTCTATCCTTGTGACTCCCTGCTGCCCAGCCAAGGGCCTGCCATAGAATAGGCAGTGTTTGTGGTATTAATTGTTGAATGATGAATATGTTACCATTCTCTGTTTACTGGAATGGCATTATTGAGTCATCGCTCAGCCTTTTCTTCTCTAAATTAAATAGCCCATATTATTTTAATTTATCCCAGAGCATTTTAAGCAGACACCATTTTCCAAGCCTCATGTATCTTTATGTGTTAAACTGCTTTTTCTTCCCCAGGTTCAAGGGCAGACGGGGTTTTTGAGGAGGATTCACAAATTGACATAGCTACAGTACAGGATATGCTGAGCAGTCACCATTACAAGTCATTCAAAGTCAGCATGATCCACAGACTGCGATTCACAACCGATGTCCAGTTAGGTAAGTAAGTACATGAACCGATGATGGACTGAACCCTTCGTATCAGTGGTCAGTGTAGAAACAGGGAGAGAAACAACATCTGACTTTTATGTGACCTGAATGACTGACGGTAATTTGTTTTCAGAGAAAATGTTTAAACAGTGAAATATAAAGTACCTCCTTTTTCCCACCTGAGTGCTCTGTCTTGTCTTCTTTTTTTATGAAGCAGAAGATTAGAAATAGAACTAACCTGAGACTCTTTTCAAACTGATTGACTTCTGTGAAGTTCCATAAATCTTTTCATTCTGTAATTTTCTACATGCTATCCTTAGAACCGCTTTGTAGCATTGCCACTTGCCTTTTTTAACTCAGGTGAATTCATTGCTTATTCATTCATGACTTTATTCAGGAAGCTTTTTAATGATCTCAGAAGTTATATTTGGATCCTCACCGAATAATCCAGAACTTTCAATTAATATTTGGGATTAATCTGTGCTCGCTTCGGCAGCACATATACTCAAATATTTGGGATTAATCTGTTCCAATTAAGGCTACATTTCTGTTTTGACTTACATGTAACAAGAGTAGAAGTCTCGTAGTAGTCAACATAATATCATCATCATCACGGCTGTCATTTATAGGTGTCTGCTGTGTGTTAAACACTGTGCTAAGTGCTTTACATACTCTGCGAAACTACCTAGATGGTGGGTATTTGTATCTTCCCCATCTAACAAAGAAGGTAAATGAGGTGCAGAGAGGTGACGTCTGTGCCCAAGCTCACACAGCAGGTAGGCGGTAGTGTGAGGAGCAGAACCCTGGTTTGGCCAACTGAAGTGCACCTGCTCCCTCCGAAAGGACACTGGGGGGAGCAGGGAGCAGGTGTGGGTGCCAGGCTTAGTCAGGGAGCGGACCTGGCTCTGCCACCTGCCTCTGCCACGCCACCCCTTCCCGGACCTCGTTTGCTTGTGTGTGAAGGGAGTAGGTTTGCGCTCCAACGGCGAGGCCCACCGATTCTGGGTTTCTCACAAATGCTCCGTATGTGTCTCATAGTAAAGTCTTTTGTAATGCTGGTGTTAGTCTGGCTAATTTGTAATAAGCCTCAAAAATCTCTTCAAATACTCCTTCCCAGCCTCACTGACTGGAGTTTGAAACACGCTGACAGCACAGCTTAGTAGGTAAGAGGGGACCCTCGGATGTGCAAAGCTCTGAATCGTGGCTCTGTCGGTAACCAGCTGTGTCAGGCAAGTGCCTTCATCTTTCAGAGCCTCGATTCCATTCTAACTGGGAATATCAGTAGCACCAACTTCTTAGGATTGCCTTGGGGAGCAAGTTAGGCCATGTGAAGCACTTAGCACAGGGCCCGACGGGTGGTGGACCCCCTGTAAAGGAGAGCTCGTGGTGGAGAGGCAGGGCTTCGGACAGACTCTGGAGCTAGAGGCCTGGGTTCAAACCCTGGCTCGTTCATCCCCTGTATCACCACAGGCAAATGACTCAGAGCCTCTGTTTCCTCATTTGTAAAGTGAGGATAATAATCCCTGTCTCACAGATGTCCTTACAGGGATGAAATGACACCACACATGCACACTACTCAGAAAGGCACCTGGCACATAGCAAGTCCTCAGTAAACACCAGCTGCTAAGATGATGAGGATTCAAACAGACTAACTAGATGGATTAGCACCCAGTAACTTTGAACCAAAACACAGAACCCACCTTTTTTTCCTCTTTCTGGACCTGTTTCTGCCTCCGTAAAAAAGAAGGAAGGGAGGGAGGGAGGGAGGAAGGAAGGAAGGAAGGAAGGAAGGAAGGAAGGAAGGAAGGAAGGAAGGAAGGAAGGAGAAAGAAAAGAAAGAAAGAGGAAGGAAGCTAAATATCTAAATTGTAAAAAAAATTGCTTATTTAATGTCGATCCTTAAACATAAAATTCTTTGGTGTTTTTCTTCCTGGAGTTGCTTTTCCTGGTACTTATAGAAATAAAAATAATGAGGCTACTCAAAAAGAAGCCAGATTCAAGAAAGGGGGGCAGGGGGAGAGTAGAAGCACGTACTATATTATTCCACTACGTACCATTCAAAAATACACAAAAATAGCGTTGGTGCTATAGTGGTGAGCGTAGCTGCCTTCCAAAAATACAGTCATCTGCTGTGCAGGAGTAATGAAGGTGGTCATCCCGCTGGGAGAGGAAGCTGTAGTGACTGCAGGGGAGACTTGGGATGCTGGTAAGGTTCTGCTTCTTGATCTGGGTACCAATTACATGGGTATGTAGACTTTGTGAAAAAAATCAAGTTACACGGGGCTCCTGGGTGGCTCAGTCAGTTGAGCTTCCAACTTTGGCTCAGGTCATGATCTCGTGGTTCATGAGTTCGAGCCCCACTGCAGCTCAGAGCCTGGAGCCTGCTTTGGATTCTGTGTCTCCCTTTCTCTCTGCCCCTCCCTAGCTCGGCTCACTCTCTCACTTGCGCTCTCTCTCTCTCTCTCTCTCTCAAAAATAAATAAAAACATCAAAAAAAATTTTTTTAAAGAAAAAATCAAGTTATAGATACTCTTACAACTCATGCATTTTCTGTTGATATATTTTCAATTAAAAGTTTACTAAAATAAGAATGCTACTCAGACATCTAGTTTGGGTTTGCCTACAGTACCTTCCCAGTAACAAAGGAGTGGGTCTGGTTTTAAGGAGCCCAGTAAGTAGCTGGATTGCAGCCAAGACAGAGGTCCAGGCTACAAGGCAGGGATTTTCCCAGGGAGCACAATCAGTAAATCCACCCATCCTCAAGGTAAAAAAGCAGTGCTTTGGAAAGATTACCAAGATCGTGAGCTTCTTTCCCTGTTTTTTTTTTTCCAAAGGCAAAAAAGCCAAACTTTAATTCATTAGATTCTGACATGTATATTCATTTAAAGGAAGAAGTCCACAAAAGGATCTGTGGGAAGAGCCCAACTGTGTAGTCAGGATTGGGTTTAAATCCCAGCATTACCAGGGCGCCTGGGTGGCTCAGTCGGTTAAGTGGCCGACTTTGGCTTGGGTCATGATCTCGCGGTCCGTGAGTTCGAGCCCCGCGTCGGGCTCTGTGCTGACAGCTCAGAGCCTGGAGCCTGTTTCAGATTCTGTGTCTCCCTCTCTCTGACCCTCCCCCGTTCATGCTCTGTCTCTCTCTGTCTCAAAAATAAATAAACGTTAAAAAAAAATTTTTTTAATAAAAAATAAAAAAATAAATCCCAGCATTACCACTTACCCCCAGTGTCTCCTTGGACAAGTCCCTTTTCAGGCTTAGTTTTTGTCATCTGTAAAATGGGAATTCTAATGTTTACCTTTCAAGGTAGAATAAAATAAAGTGTTTGGCGCAGAGAAGCTGTATTCTGAAAGGAGGCTCATCTTAGTTGTTGTTACTATTGTCACTGTTACTTATTTTGCCCATTGCTTTCTGTCCAAGTCTACCATCTTGAAATTAGCCAGATCACTTAGATTAGGTAGTGGCTCTGTTGGCAGAGTTTCACTTGTAGCCACAGTGGAGGACACTTGTCAGGTAGAAGTGGATGATGACAGTGGTGAGGATATCTCTCCCTGGAGCAGTGGTTCTCAGAAGTGTGACTAGAGGCCAGGTCCCAGTCACCTCTGGAAGATTCCAGTGGTACACATGGCACCCTCTGGTGGTGAGTCATGGCTCCAAGGAGCTTCTGAACAGTCAACTGTCAGAATATCTGTTTCAGTTATGAATCTACACTCAGTCTTACAAACAGAGCATTATGAACAGAAACTTCATATATTAGTCCTAAGGAATTTTGTGACAATTACATAAACTCTGCCTGTGAGTACTATACCATGTGATTAATAAATAAGCTCATTTCCTGTTGCCATGTAGATGAGTTCTATAACTTCAGATCCCCTTTCCCTCGCGAAGCAGGTGACACCCTTTCATTTTAACAGTAACGACAACAAAAACCGGCAGAGTAATCCAGGAATTCCTTCTTTCCAAAACTGACTCTACTGTAAAGGACAGGGCAGCAAAGAACGCACTTTTATGAGCATTTGAGTGAGCAGCTGGATTCTGAGATCAGTAAATAATTTATTTTATTTCAACTGACTAGCCAGGTGCTTCAGATCTTTCCTGACACTGATGGATGGTCTCCTCTGCTCATCCATCCTGTGTCAGTCAGAGCAGAGATTTCACTTGCCCCCTGTGGCAAGTTCTTCTAAGTGGTAAGTGTCTGTGTGCGGCATTTCCCCAGTAGCCCTGCTGATTCCACAGAAAACTCCCCGTCCACTCTGAGTCAGTGGTACGCAGGAGCACGCAGCAGCGATCAGAATTCCCCAGCTCCGCGGCACCATCACAGCTGCTTGTCTCCCGATCGGGTAGTCGTGGCCTGTGCTCCCGTTTTCACCATCTGCCATCTGCTTCTGAGAAAGGCGAGGAGGGACGCAAATTTGGACCTGCAAGACCCTGACTTAAACCGGTTTTCCACCAGACTTTTCTGTGATTGAAAAACTTTATTGGAGTCCCGTAGTGAAACCTGGGGCAAAGACCTGATCTTTGTAAATAATATTAAGAAGAATTACGATTTTCTTCAGTTTATTTATTTCTTTTGAGAAAAAAAAGCACAAGTGGGGGAAGGGCAGAGAGAGAGAGAGAGAGGAGAAAGAATCCCAAGCAGGCTGTGCACTGTCAGCCCAGAGCCTGATGCGGGGCTCGAACCCACAAACCGTGAGATCGTGACCTGAGCTGAAGTCAGATGCTTAATGATTGAGCCACCCAGGTGCCCCAGAATTACAATTTTTAAAGGCAGTTATTTATCAAGTGCTTGCTATGTGCCAGGCACTTCGCTGATCACTCTTATATTCATTGTCTCCTATAATTATATCACTATTACTGGATAGTACTGATATTATCTCCATTTTTTATATCAGGAAACTAGGGTATAGGGAACAATTACTCATCAAGTAATGAAGCTGAGATCAGAATCCAGATTGTCTAAAGCTTCGTCCTGCACCTAACTACTATATTATGCCTTGAATGCAAATTGTCG